TAATCGCAAAAGAGGGAGGGAGGCACATAAGAGTGTAAGAGCTGGGCAAGAAGGGGTGGACTAAGAGGACCATAAACGATACAAAATAAATCCTGCCCTCAAAGGACTCTAGAAAAAAACTGAGCAATGACTTTGGCCAGGAAAAAAGGTATATCAAATACTTGACTCGATGGTAATGTGAATTTGACCCATTAACTGGTACAAAAATAGTCCTTAAGTCACCATACAAGGTTTCTTATCAATTTCTCCTGACCACTCACAGTACTGCCAAATCAAAAGACATTGAGCCTTAGATTTACATCTTACAAACCAAAGGAAAATAATATTTTCCTTAAAATTTAACTAACCTTAAAAAACAAAAACTAAAACTAATTCTGACTCATACCAACCTTATAGGACAGAATAGAACTGCCCCATAGGGTTTCCAAGGCTGAAAATCTTTACAGAAGTAGACTGCCTCATTTTTCTCCCACAGAGTGGCTGGTGGGTTCTAACTGCTGACATTTTGATTAGCAGCTGAATGTTTTAACCACTGGAACACCAGAACTCCTTAATTAATACTAACATAGAAAAAAAAAAAAATCCACTGCCATAGAGTCATTTCTGACTCACAGTGACCCTGTAAGACAGAGTAGTACCATCCCATAGGGTTTCCAAGACTGTAACTAATAGTAGATATCAGTTTATAAGTGTTAGTGAAGTATTAGTGCTATGTTCTAATTCCAGTTATACAGATGGCTATTTTTCAGATGAAAATATTTTTTTTTCCAGTTCTATTTCCTTTTAAATGGGAGCTCTGGTGGCATAATGCCTAAGGCATTTGACTGCTAACAAGAAGGCTGGAGGTTCAAACCCACCAGCCACTACTCGGAAGGAAGACTAGGCAATCTACTTCTGTACAGATACCACCTCAGAAACCCAGGGAGGGGTCGCTATGAGTTGAATCAACTCAACAGCAGTGAGTTTAGTTTGGTTTTATTTCCTTTTAACAATAAAGTGTCTTTCAATTCTCAAAATAAAATGTTCACTTACTATCCAGTACTGTTGAAAAATGTTTTCTATATAAATCTAGAGTACATGAACCCATCACTGATATAAAATTTAAAAAAACTCACTGCCATTGAGTGGATTCCAACTCATAGGACCCCCTTTTGGTTTCCAAGGCAGTAAATCTTTATGGAAGTAGATTGCCCAGGTTGCCTTCCATGGAGTGCCTGGTGGGTTTGAACCATCAACCTTCTGGTTAGCGATCAAATGCCTTAGGCGCTACACCACCAGATACAGGTAATGGTTAAGTGCTTCCTCTTAACATTTACTCTTCTTTAGCCTTACCAGGACATTGAGTTAACTTCTCTCATGTGGCCTTAAAGGATATGATTTTTTTTGTGTGTGTGTTTATTATGTCTGCAAAGTGCTGCCATACAAGTAGATCAGAATCTACTATTTGACTTATGGAGTACATTAAATTTCCCTCCACTTTAAACTATCTTCTGGATAAATCAGAAATGTGAGTGCCACAACCCCTTTAAGGATTGAGAAGAAACCATTGAACATCTGACTGAACAACTATCAAAAAAATATCACTTACTAAAGGAACATCAACTGGTTGTTCCATGGTGGCCATAATCCCTGGGATCACTGGCATAGACTTTGTTTATATTGGACAAAAAATTATTAGAATACAATCAAAACTAGATAAGGTTGCCTTAGAACTTGAAAGTTCTATTGATTTTCTGAAAAATACCATAGACTTTTTGTCCACTAAAGTAACTCAAATAAAAGTAATTCCTTTATAAAATAGGTTGTTGGTTTTGTTGTTAGGTACTGTCGAGATAGTTCCAACTCATAATAACCCATGTATGATAGAATGAAACACTTCCTGGTTCTGCACCATCCTCTCAATCGTTTGTGTGCTTGAGCCTACTGTTACAGCCACTGTGTCGATCCATTTCATAGAGGGTCTTCCTCTTTTTCATTGACCCTCTACTTTATCAAGCATGATGTTCTTTGCCAGGGACTGGTTCCTCCTGCAAACATGTCCAAAGTACGTAAGGTGAAGTCTCATCTCCTCCCATCTAAGGAGCATTCTGGCTGTACTAAGAAGACCAGAACATATTTGTTCATTCATCTTTCAGTCCATAGAATATTCAATATTTTTATCCAACACCATAATTCAAAGGCTTCAATTCTTTGGCCTTCCATACTCAGTTGTCCAGCTGCCAGCTTTTCTATGCATATGAGGCTACTGAAAATACTATGGTTCAAGTCAGGCATACTTTAGTCTTCAAAGTGACATCTTTGTTTTTAACACTTTAAAGAGGTCTTTTGCAGATTTGCCCAATGCAATATGACATTTGATTTCTTGACTGCTGCTTCCTTGAGCAATGACTGTAGATCCAAGTAAAATGAAATCCTTGACAACTACAATCTTTCCTCCATTTATTATGATGTTACTTATTGGTCAAGTTGTGAGGATTTTGTTTTATGTTGAGGTGTAATCATACTGAAGTCTGTAGTCTCTGATCTTCATCAGTAAGTGCTTCAAGTTCTCTTCACTTTCAGCAAGCAAGGTTGTGTCATCTGTATATCACAGGTTGTTAATGATTCTTCCTCTAATCCTGATGCCATGTTCTTCTTCATATAGTCCAGATTCTTGGATTATTTGCTAAGCATTATTATTGACATCATAACTGACAGTCAAGATATCAAAAGATGTTTTGCATTGGGCAAATCTGTTGCAAAAGACCTCTTTTAAGAACTGAAGAGCAAAGGTATCTTCTTGAAGACTAAGATGCACCTAATCCAAGCCATGGTATTTTCAATTGCCTCATATGCATGTGAGAGCTGGACAATGAATAAAGAAGACCAAAGAAGACTGGATGCTTTTGAGTGTGGTATTGGTGAAGAATACTGAAAGTATCATGGACTGCTAAAAGAACTAACAAATCTGTCCTGGAAGAAGTGCAGCTGGAATGCACCTTGGAAGTGAGAATGGCCAGACTCTGTCTCACCTACTTTGGTCATGTTGTCAGAAGGGACCATTCCCTAGAGAAGAATATCAAGCCTGATAAAGTGGAGGGTCAACAAAAGAGGGCAAGACCCTCAACAAGATGGATTGACATGGTGGCTGCAGTGATGGGCTTAAGTATAGTAGGGATTGTGAGGCTGGCACAGGACCAGTGTTTCGTTCTGTTGAACATAAGGTCGCTATGAGTCAGAGATGACCTGACGGCACATAACAACAGGATTGAATAAGTATGGTGAAAGGATACAATTCTGATGTACACTTTTCTTGATTTTAAACCAACAAAATAAATCAACTCTTGATTATTTGCTTGCTTCTTAAGGTATAATGTGTGTCTTGGTAGGAAAAATGTTACATGTATATTAATGACACCAAAACTAAAGTATACCAAAATATAATAATAAGATATAACATGGTAGAAAAGCAGCTAATGCTGTCAGTCTCCTAATGTCTTTGGGATTTGTTTTCTTGGTTAGGAAATTCAGATTCATGGGTTAGACAAAGCTTTCAAGTTATTGGCTTATGCATCCTCCTGGTATTGATAAGATAGATCCCCTTTACTTGCTAAGGTGTTTGGTGACTGGGGTCTTAGAAGCTTGAGAGCAGCCATCTAAGGTACAACAAATTGTCTCTCTCTAACTAGAACAACAAGAAAAGGAAGCAGCCACGGAACCAACGGAGATAGTGTATGTGTGTCACAACAAGAACTTATGACTATCAAGACCCAAAAAAGCTAGATGGTGTCTTGTCTGGACTGTAGTTATTTGATCAAAGAGTCTAATCAAATCATGATCAAAAGGAGGATGTCCCCCCAAAATTACAAGTTTTGATTTATGTAAACATAAAGAATAAGAGAATGAACTCTCTCACCCATGACACTTACGTCATCTTGTTAAATGTTGTTAAAAATCTATGCACTCAAACAAATAACCTTTTAGCTATGCTATAAACTAACCTATAAAAGTAGCTTATTTTTTCCACATAATTGGTTCTAGGTGACTAGGACCACTGAAACCAGAAAGGCTGGTTTCATTATTTATTAACTTTCACTTGAAGCTTAGAAAACAACAAGTTAATAAACACATTGTTTTCAAGATTAATAAACATACCCTGTTTTCAAAACTTTAGGGGTCTTGCAACCAAAACTCACTGATCTTGTGATTGTCTTGTAACTAGTTAGCAAAGTTATGTAAATGTCAACCAATCAGAAATTTTGTTCAAAAGTTCCTTATAACTTTGAATATAAGCATTGTAAGAACCTTAACTAATGGTCAGTACTAATGGTATCCTATTGATTTTTTAACAATAGTAAGGAGCACACTCTTGCCATGGAACAGGAATGCCAGGTCAGTCAGAGTGGGTGCTCTGAAGATGATAGTGTAAAGATGACATGAGTGACCTGCCCACGAGAGGCTTGGCTGAGCCAATGAGCTATTATCACTGTCTTGACATTCTTAACACCTTTGAACAAAGGCCACACGTCCATTTTGCATGAGGCCCTGGACATCTGTTCCTGCTCCCCTGGTGGACTGGAACCAATTTTCTACATAAGGGGTGGGCCTCTGGGTACCCTGGTCATCCCAAGGAGCCTTTTGGGCTGGGCTTTGGGGTTCCAGAGAAACTACCCTGCCCAGGAACTGCCCTGAGAATGGCAGCACCAGGATGCTCCCTACCCCAGCCCCAGGGCACCCTCACTCCAGCTTCATATGCTTCCCATTCCAGTCTGTGGACAATCTCCACCCCCAGCTTCAGAGTGCCCCACCTCAGCTCCTCAGCCCCAATCTGTGCCCCACCAGCCTTGGGGTGCTTCCACTCCATCTCCCAGAATGCCTCCACCCCATCCTCCAGGGTGCCCTCACATCATCTCCAGGGTGCCTCCACTCTGGGCTCCAGTATGCTACCACCCTAGGCCTTGAACACCCCCATCACAGTCCCTCAGTCCCAGGGCTGCATTCTTGCCCTGCCCACAGGTTACCTGGAACTTGTTGGGGTCGGCCCCTCCGGCCTGACCTACAAAGAGGCCAGCACCAGGCTCCAGTTCTAGGCCCGCTGGGGACCGTTGGAAAGGCAGCCTCTGGAACTCCTCACAGTCCACATAGAGCGTCACAGTGCCACCATCCACACTGAGTGCAAAGCGAATCCACTGGTGAGTGAAGGAGGGCAGGCGAAAGCTGGCAGCTGTGTGGGTGTGCTCTGCATCTGGCTCTGTGTATAGGAACTGGATCTGCTGCTGCCCATTTTGCACATCTGAGAGCTTCACACCCATGAGGATCTTTGCCTGGGCTGCATCTGTGATGGCAAATAGCACGCCTGCACTTCCTGTGTTTGGCTTCACGTGGAACAGCAGGGAGAAGTCCCGGAAGAATGGGCTGGGCACATGGTAGCGGGCCACCTGGCCACTGTTGGCATCTGGGCCAAAGACGTAGGCTGGGCCGACATCAGGGTCCTCAATCTGGGTGACTTGTGAGGGTGGGGGCTCCCCAAGGAGCTGTAGGAGCCCCACCTCCTCCATGCCAGCACTCTCTGGAAGAGGAGAGAGATGGGTGAGAATGAAGCACCATGGCACCACGGGGAGACAGGCAGGAGGGTGTAGGGAGGCAGAGGTACCCCACCACCATGGGGAGATAGTCAGGAGGTGGAAAGAAGGCCCAGGCACCCTGGCCCCTGGGGAGACAGGCAGGAGGGAGGAGAGAGGCCATGGCACCCTGGCACCACAGGGAGACAGGCAGGCAGGGTAAACCAACTTGGGGAGGACTCGTCAATATGCCATCTGGTCCCATCCACACCCTTTGTGCAGAAAACTGTCAAGGGCATCTATAAGGCTGTGCCAGGCATTGCAGTGGGACAGGGGCATGGCAACCACAGGCTACTCCACCCTCAGAGATCCTTAAGTTGCTCAGAGACCAAAAGAAGACCCACAGCAAAGAGATTGTCACAGGTGGTATGGTATGGTGGGTGAGGAAGGGCCCTCTCCTTTGATGTGGCTCTTAGGTGCTGAAGTCGGCATCAGAGCAAAGGTACTGCCACAGGTGTGCTGAGGGCATGAAGCCCTCTCTGCTCCATGCCAGCCCTGAAGGACCACTCATATAGTCCAGTCAGGGCACCACCACCCAGTGTACCATCTTAAAGTCATCACCCCACTGCAAGAAAGAGAAAGAGAAAACTATGCATCAGGATTTTAACTGCCTTTTTATCTATATTAGGTGCCAACCTGGAAGGAAATTAAATGCCTAAGACCTGCTAAATTAAATTCCTAAGTGAAAAGGGGTGACCACTTAGGGCAGCATAATCTTTCCTATGCTTTAATTCTCTGCTGAGGTTCCCAGGCAAATGCTGACACCTGGTGTAAAGTGGAATTGCGGCCATGTTCCCCAGGTTAGTTGGCAGGGCTCTCTTGCAGCCCAGTCTCTCTGGAGGATGGTGACCTGGGGGCTGCTACTGGGACTCCTAGGGAGAGGGCTTCTCCTGCATCAGTGCTCATTTTCTAACTGACTATTACTGGGGTGCCACAATCACCATAAATTGAAAAAGGCCACACAAAATAGCTGAAGTCCACTGCTGTGAGTTGAATTTTGTCCCCATAAAGATATGTTAAAGTCCTATCCCCTGTACCTGTGACCTTATTTCTCCTTGCAGACATTATCAGTAAAGTCAAATTGGAGTAGGGTGGGTCCTAAACCTAATCCCTTCCAAGTTCTGTGTTATAAAAGGGGAGAACAGACACACACAGAGGGAGAACACAGATACTATGTGAAGATATATTTACTTGCCAAGGACTGCCAAGGACTGCTGGGAGCCACCAGTAGCTAGGGGAGAGGCCTAGAACAGATACTCCCTCAGAGACTGAGAGGGAGCCAACACTTGAATCTCAGATGCCCAGCCTCCAGAACTATGAGACAATAAATCTCTGTTGTTTAAAGTCTCACCCCCACCCCACCCCCACTTTGTGGTATTTGTTGCAGCAGCCCTAGGACACTCAATATACCACTAACCTGGGAGATGAGATCCCCTCTCTCCTAAACCAACTAGACTTCACATTTCAAGAGAGGTTCCATGGGTCCCAGGGAATCCCCTTCTCTTGGAGGGCTGCTAATCAATGCTCCTTTCAGTACCCACAAGATCACTGTGGGTCACTCCTACTCCTATCATACTTCAGTGGGACACACTCCTTATAAGGATGCTTATATGCCCCTGCTGTGAGTTGCTACAACTTCCCATTCAGTGCTGCTGGAAAAGAAGGATGGCCAGGTGCAGAGTGACATCAACCACGTGGGAGGATGCCCTGGTCATGGGCTATCCCTGTCTCATGGGAGCAAGGGGATCTACAGTATGCCTCTGCATGTGGGGAGACCAGCAGTATTCACAGTTGTGTTCACAGTTGCCACCATCCCCTGTGATGGTGGCTGTCACGACAAGTCCTTTTGTTCAGAAGCACCTGAGAGCAACAGTCTAAGGGTTAGGAAACAGGACTATCTCACTGGCCTAAGTGGTAGTGACATGGTGTCATGACTCAGCCTATTCAATCTAAAACATGGATATACTTCCTACTGCCCCTGCTTTGGGGCAGCTAGAACTTTTCCAAACTTAATGAGAATGCAGAATGAAGCTGCCACTGGTTTCCTGAGCAGCTGGTAAACACCACATATCACAGGGGTGGCCAGAGACCCCAAACACAGAACAAGCTTCTCCCAACGTTCTCACGTCCTTTCCATGAAGCTCCTTATGATTTCCTCTGTGGGCAGGCTCTGAATGCCTTGGCGCTTGGATCACCAACTCCCTCTACAGATTCAGGCTCTGTGAGCAGAAGATATCCCCTCCCTTGATACCCCAACACCACAGCTGTGACTGAAGCACCAGCCCAATATTCCTGAGTAGGAAATCACCCTCACTCCAAACACTGTGCATCTCAGACACTTGCAGACACTACATGCCTGCAGATACCATGCCCTGCCCCCATGCACCAAGATGCTGTGCACTCTTGCACAATATGCAGATACTTGCAGGCAGCACTCACGTGCCCCCAGGCTGCTCCCTAATACCAGCCTGCCGATGCCAGTGCTCTCTTGTGCAGCATGCAGATACTTGCATGCAGCACTTAGATGTCCCCAAGCTGTTCCTCAGAATCTGCCTGCCAACTAGACTCCTCTTTGGATGTGGCCTGAGGCCTGGGCTGCTCTGAGGGTGCCTGCTTTACCCACAGGTCCTTGGAAGGGTTGGCTGAGGACTGAGAATCACTCCCTACACACACACACTGCCCTCTCTGTCCTGCAAAGGGGTTTCTCAGAGTCCCATATAACTGACATTCTAGTCCTGGATGAGTCTGGAAAACCAGGACCACTTCGTATACAGGTATGCACTACATAATGTTTGCTCAGGTGACGTACGACCACATATACATCTGTGGTCCTATAACATTACAATAGAATTCAGAAATCCTGATCCAAGAACAGAACACAGCTGATGTATTCTGCTAAGTACTGTAGATCCTATCTGTCTCTCACTGGGTCTCTGGGTCCCATGTCCACCCCAGCCCTGGGGCAGCAGAGGAGGACATCCTGGTGCCTGCCTACAGCTGCCTGTCTCACCATGTTTGCCTCAGGCAGGGATGGCACAGGGATCACCAGAGCCGCTGAGTAGGATGCCCTGTGAGGCTGCTGCCATACCCTGGTGTCACACTTGGCCAAAGCCATGGCTCCTCCCATGGTGGTGGCCACAGGTCTGGGCTGTGGCAGTGGTGGAAGGAGGAGTAGAAAAGGCTGCTGGGGGTGAACATGGAGGTGGAGGAAGGACAGGCAGGGCTGGAAGCCATTGGGGGTATGGGGGGAGGACACAAACGAGGAGGAAGAAAGGGAAGGGAGCCAGTGGCATGAGGTACGGCCAGCTGGACAGTGAGTGTGTGCCATGGCAGGGCCAGGCATGGCTCTTGGAGACCAGAGACTGTGCAGCAACTACAAAGGACTGGCAGTGGTGGAGCCAAAGTTTTCACAAAGTCCCTTGGCATGGCAGTAGCAATACAGGTCCTGGGCCTAGTGACCATCTTGTGCATATTTCTCCTGTATGTAATATGGTGTTGGCACAACATCCAAATCACATAACATCCTATCTCACAGAACATATTGTGGAGGAGGCATACCCATATTTTAAGTTAATCAGGCAACTTCTGTGTCAGTACATGGGGTTGAGGGGGACTCTGAGGAACAAGGATTTGATGCTTGACTGCAAATTGAAACAACTCACAGAGATAGCGGGTCTTAGACTGAAGTTTCCTCTTGAATTGGAGATGGCTCCACGAGTACCACTCTTTCACCTCCACGTGGGGCTGGGCAGCAGTGACCACCATCAGCCAGGCTAAGGGAAGCCTGTGGTAGTCCCACCTGAGTCCCACCCTAGGGATATGTGGCTGCAGGGCCAGGGACCAGGAACAAGATCTCACCACATCTCACATAGGACTGCCCACACTGCTATCAGGGCTTGTGCACATGCAAGCTACACTGTGATTCCCCACACAGTTGTCTCCTTGACAGACAAGTGTAAGCTAAGTGGCTGCCAGGAGAAGCTCTGAGCAGCCCACCCCATGCCTGTGTAGTTCTGCTCTGTGCTCATTGTGGAATACTGTCTCCAGGGACAGTTTTGTGAAACCAGACCCTGTTGTTTGGAAATCACTAAGAGAAATCTCCCAGTACTCTCTACACCTAGAGACACAGATTCAGACACCTCATGGAATTAAAAGCCACAACCAATCAGAAAAGGAAGGAGGGAAAAAGATGAAAGCCCTAACTCCCAATCAGTAAGAGTTGTAAAATGAGAGGGCAGGGAGGACTCAAGTGTTTCAGAGATCAATCACCACACACAGAAAATTCTACTGTGGAAGAATAGAGGCATGTAGACCACATGCAACACAAGCCAAACAGATCAAAACCAAAAAGGACAAGCAAATGCAGTCTAGCTATACATTGTCCAAAAAAATAGGCTAAAGTGACATTAAAAGGTTAAAAACAAAAGCATGGCAAAATATCAGACACATCAGACACTGTTGGTGGGACTTTAAGATGGTACAACCACTGTGGAAAGCAGTATGGTGATTCCTCAAAAAGTTGAAAATAGAAATACCATTTGACCCGGCCATTCCATTACTAGATATATACCCTAAAGAAGTGAGAGCCATGACAAGAACAGACATATGCACACCCATGTTCATCGCAGCACTATTTACAATAGCCAAAAGATGG